GCTTCCTCCCCCAGCCCACCTTTCCTTCCCCTGCTTGTACTCTGCTGGGTATTTCCTTGTAGTGAAGCAAATCCGCGCAGCTCCAAGGTAGACCAAGCAGAGCTAAAAATGCACTCCAATCCCCTGTGCATAAACCACCATGTAAACCTGTCCCACTGACCTATGCTCCCCACTAATACCACTGCTTTAATCTGATTATGAAACTGGATGTGCAAGTGCTCAAAGGAAGGGCAACTGTGTCTGTCCAGCAGTGAGCCAGGGCCTATCGCCGCCTCAGTCAATGACAGCCAGGGCCTAGGCAGCCTACATTGCTAAGGAACAACTACTTCTCCCACCCCCACTTACCATTCCCTGTTTTCCTCCCCAGCCTCGTTCAGTGAAGGAGTCTGAGATGCTGTCTGCCCAGAAAGGCTCTGCAACCCAAAGAGCAAAAGGGGCAGAGCCCATCTCTGTCAGCAAACCCCAGCATGCAAAACCCAGACTGGATTCACAGAGAGCTGGAATGAGATTGGGGTGTGGCCTGGAAGGAGGCCATTGCTAAACACCCTCCACAATGTCACATGAGAAGGGGGAACCCAAGTGACCACAGGATCCCGAAGAAAAGGGGTCACCACCAACATCAGTCAGTCTCAAAGAGCAGAGTAACAGCAGCCATCCCAAGCCACAATGAAGCAAGGAAAGTGGGGCTTGAACTTTCTCAATCAGGCTCAATCTCAGGTTAGCAGGGACAAGACCCAAGAAACTCACTAGTGATCCAAGCTGAGTGGAATGGGGCCTAGCAGTTTAGACAGGAGATCTGACAAGCAACAGTCAGATGGTCCATACTACCTGCTCCTCTCTGCTCAGGCAGAGAGATGGGAGGGAGAGGAGTTGCCCAATGGTAGAAATGTGTTCCAGCTGCTCACTTACTTTATCTTGGTAGCCACTCCACTTTTTACAATGGTCTTCATTACTTGCAGAGCATGGAAAGCTCCCACAATTGGCAAATCCCACAGGTTACATGAGCCTAAGTGGTATGGTGCACTATATCACACTCCCTTCAGCAACTTCCTAAAAATCAGCAACTGCCTCCTTTGGACCCCAATCTCA